ATTATAAGCAAATTAGCTTTGTTTTCCTGGCACAATTAGTTGTAAGTCCTTCATTTTCATGCTGCTGAAAGCTGAAGGACAAATCAGTGATAAGAGAATCAAGTACTCGGGTAGTCAGCTAAGATTTTTGTCTAGGAGCAATTTATCATGTAAATGGTGCCTGCTTTGTTTTATGGAAATCTGAAAACAGCTTTCTGCATGATTGAAGCCTCTGTCAATGAAAACCCCTTCAAAATGTGACAAATGTGTCTCATCTCTGGTAGATGCTGAAAGGACTTAAGTGATAAAACTATATATACACTTACTATTTTTATCCAGAGTATACACACAGAGAGSTTCTTGAGGATTTAGCAAGAAGATTTTCTATATTATTGAATCAATCATATTTTAGAGAGAAATCAATTCCATTCCAGAGGATTCAAAGAAGAATCATTGCTTTACCCAATATGGCAATATAAGTATTAATTGCCATCATCATAAGCAAACAAAACACAGTATGCAGCCTTCTCCCAGAGAAAAACAAGATGTGTTACAGATGAGTTTCAAGCCTTTTTGGAACATGAACTGCATGCTTATTAATTGTCACATTTGTCACACACCTATTTATGTCAAAGCTGTCTTTGGCAGGGCCTCATTATCTCATAGACCTCCTCCTCCCCACTCTGCCGGCTTGCAGGCATTTTGCTGTGGGTGTCAAGGCTGCATCTCGCCTCCCCCAGGTGAATTATGATACATATTGCACTGTGAATAAATAACATTCCACAATAGGACTGTATGCCTCTCGTAATGCAGACTCCTGTAGGAAATTAGCAATAGGTGCAATTTTGATACTTTAACGATTCTATAAAAATTGAAAAACCAAAAGCTAACACACCCAAACACTTCACACAGTCCTTACAAATCTATTTACTCAATTGCTCTTTTAAGAGAACAGTCTCAAACCAGCTCAGATAAAAACCGAGTTAGCCACAAGTTGACCAGAAGAGTAACATGAAAAACAAAAGCAGCTGCATCGAACACAAACCTAAATTCAGCAAATTACATTCTGTAATTAAAACAGGAATGACACTTTCTCGAATATGGAGCATGAAAGCTTTAATTTCCAACAGAGACCATATTATTAACATACAGTGTCCAAAGTGAGTTCTGCAACCAGGTGAAATATCCCATTGACCATCCGCCATTCATGCTCAGATTTTGGGGTCAGTCTCTAAAGCTTTATCCAACTGAAGTGATCCTCATTTAGCTGAATTCTCTCTCTCTCATAAGTACAAACTAAGCAGAAAAGGAAATTCTTTAGAATGATTCAACTGTAAAATATTCCTCAATATCTATAAAGACTAGACCTAATGCATGCTGCTAAATCATTGTCTTGAGAATACCACATAAAATAATCAGCTTTTAATTTCAAAGAAAATCAGACCTAATTAAACCTAGAAGGATCAAAATATAATGGTTTTTGATGAAAAATACTTTTGCTGTGTTTATTATTCTTCCACCAAAGCTTTATCCCAAACATTACTTATCTGATGGAAGCTCCAGGGAAAAGTGAAAATAGATATAGCTGAAACCTTTCTGTATCAAACACTACAACACTCTTTATTCAAACTGCTTTGCTGTTCTTTACATAAAGAGATAAACTTCCAACAGCTGCCTGAAGCAAATTTTAAATGAACATTAAATACTTCCGCACTTTTAAACAGCAAAAACAGAGCCTAAAAAGACTGTTCTATTAAAAAGAAAATACAAACAGGTATTTCTAGTAGTTTTTTTTAAAAAAATGGTYAACTAAAACAATAAAAATCATCTACAAAACCTTAAAAAAAACCACACCACACTTCATAGTTCAATGACACCGATTGTTTGGATTTCTGTTACCATTTAAAAGAAAATTAAAATTTATCATTGAAAAAAAGATCCTGCATTTTCCCCTTAAAAAGTTTTTTTGTATATGTGGTGGTAGATGCAGAGAATAGTCATACGAACTGCAAAGGCAAACAGCATACGTTATAAAAGAGCATAAAGATACTAACAGAAGGGTTATGTTAAATTGGAAGTACTCCAAAGAACTGCACCTTCATGTCATTTCTTATGGGAAGCTGATAAACTTGCATATCATATATGCTAGAATAAGGGAGGAGAACAATATTTTTAGAAGTTAGGATCCTATTTTTTAAAAGCATTAGAAACTTTTTAAAACTATACCCATAGGCAAAGGATGTTAACATGATGCTTTCCTGAGCACAAAGTGAGATATAATCAGCTCACCGACTTAGTTTTAAAACCCAAAGATAACATTATGATCTAGTCTAACCCCCTCTGCAAAGCCAGTAAGATTGCAGCCTCGAATTTCTTCATCACATAAACAACTTGTGCATTCTTTCCCTTCCTTCAAGGCATGAACCTTTAGAGCAGATATCACACAAGACACATTCATGTTCCTTTTACTTGCATAAACACATTGTGAGCTTAAGACTGCTCGCTCTTTCAGGGTACACAGGAATATTGCAAAGTTAGGGATACTCCTTTCAACTCCATTTTTCACTATGAAAAAGACAGACATGTCRCATGACATGGCAGACATTCCATTTTGAGCAATTACGTGTGTTAAAGCTTAATATACGATGGAATTTTTACAATTCCTACAGAAAGGTTTGGATTGGGATGAATAAATAAGTCTGCAGTATACTTTCTTTAAAGCTGGTGGTGTTTTAAGAAATCAGCCCAGTCCAAAAACTTAAAGATATAACACTGTGGATAGGAAAAAAAGGAAAAGAAAATCATGATTATGTGGTGTATCAGATTCACATATCTAAATTGTAGATTTAGGCCAGGCCAAAAAGCCAGAAGCTGGGCTTGGATCTTCTAAGCCACAGCCCAACGTCCTACTCATTGAACTTGTGTAAATTTAAAGCAATTAGTCTTTCTGACTTCAAAGAATCTTTTAGCTGCTCAAAACACACCGAAATATGGAGAACTGAACAGCATTATACTGCTCTGAACACATCAGATTTAAAATATTAGACATCAGTTTTAGTCCTATGACAATTAGTGCTTTGCAGCTTTAGAATTTCACAGTATATTAATCAAGTTGTAAAAATACAAATTAGCTCTTTAGCCCAGAAAAATGCTTTCTAAAATGATTTTAATAATAAATTTATTGTCAGTGGTGTTTTAATTACAATTCTGAAAAATCTAAGAATCCGTCTTACTCAATCATCACACTTGCATTGACTTAATTCTTAAAATGTGCCCGCATACAGAGAAACAAGCTTGGAACAACACTGCTCAGGACACGCACTGTCCTAACAGCAAGCCAGGACAAGGCTTGATGAACCAGGCAAAACATTTCTCATTATAAGGGGTTTTTTATTTTTTATTTTTTTGGCCAAGCAATGTTTATTCCAGAGCCTGATGGATGGCTGGTGAAGACTGTAACTTTACACCTTCCGAGCAGTGCTCGGTGCTGATGTAACAACTACTGATACAATCAAGCGATAGGTGAGGAGCCTGTCGGCAGGGCTGGGCGGCAGCGGCTGGGTAAAGGGCAGCCCAGGAAAACACCCAAGCAAGCTGCGCAAACTGCAGAAGACGCTTGGAAGAGGTGAGAAACCAGAAGAGGTGCAAAGGGGCTGGGAGAGGACAGCCAAGCCTGGCAAACAAATCCGCAGAGAGGCAACAAAGCAGATAAAGGACCAGGCAGAGAGAGGTTGCAGAGCCCCCGCAGGAGCCACAGTCAAGGGAAATACCCCCTGTGGGGCACTAAGCACGGCCAGCACTCAGAAGGGTTTGATTTATGAGATACGTGGAGAAGAAAAGGTTTATCTGCTCCCTAGTGGAAAATGAATTTATATATATATACACACACATATAATTAGGTATTAAATTGTTAACAGGGTTAAGTGCTAGGCATATATATAGGCRCACCACATATGGGGGGCAAAAGGATTAACTTGAGAAAGTATTACTTTTAATCGAGATAAAACAGTAATATTACAGTTTAAGCTGTATTTAAGCTATATTTAAACTATATTTTAAAAGATTTACTCTATAAGAACAAAAGCTAGTAACCAACTGTGAGCACACCTAGTGTATTTAAGCAGAAAAGGTAAAGTATCATGCAAAGAACCTGCCAGTCCCATGTTCATTTAACCTGGAGTTCTCGCTTAGCTGKTTATCCTGTTTCAGTAAAGCAGCAGCAGGCAATAGTTGAGGTACAGCAGCTATCTGAAATAGTTAAGTATTTCAAAAAGTTTTCTGCTACACTTTAAATGTTGCATTCACAACTGCTTTTATTTTCTTTCCCTCCGCTTCCCAGCTGCATTCCTGCCACTTCACTCTAGGGTTCCTACAAGCTCTGAGCACCCCTTTCCRTAACAGGTGCCTTAAATCACCCTTAATGATACAGGATAAGCCTGAAACAGCACCCTGCTACACACAGAAGCAGAGCAGAATTTCTGGGATTAGCTGGGCTAACGCCACAGGACACCCTGCTAGGAGAAATCCACTGTTTCCGAACGCAGCCAAGACGCTCTCAGGCTACGTCCTGTCAAAGCCAGGATAATTTTCTGMAGTCCAAAGGACAGAAAGTGGAGGACAGGAAAACGTTTCCTTTTTCTCCTCTTTTCTCCACAGGAGAGAGAAAGAAGGGGGCAGCACAACCTGGAGGAAGGTATTACCTCTTCTGATRAAAAGGAAGGGTGATACAAGTAGAGGAGTGTCCTTCCAAGATTTTTTTAAATATAATTTGGCTAGATTAAGCATTAAAGTAGTGAATTGGTAGCAGCTTTTCACATGTTACTCAGGTCCTCCCACTCCAGATTTCACCGTTCGGCACAGGCGCAGCACCGTATTTACTCACAGACACACCTTATGCCAGTAGCAGGGTCAGACAGCGCAAGACCCTGTAGCAGCAGGGTCAGACAACCAGGCAATTCCCTGGTTAAACAGAGCCACCTGAGGGCTTCCTGAGCCCGCTGCCATCTCACTCACACGTGTCTGCGTCCACCAAAGAAGGCCAAGGACCCGCGTGCAATTCGGGGCTCTGTCCTCCCGCTTCCCTCTGTCTGAGAAGAGGTAGATTCTTCCTTCCCTGTGAACCAAGATCAGGTGGATTTATGATTTGTTTACTAAAACACACACACACACAAAAGTGGGAAAAACTGAGAGACATGTGCACGGCGCCTTTCCCTCACRGTTCCTGAAGGAACTGTTCCAGAGAAAGGTGTTCATCGTCATGGGCTATTTAACAGCAAACAAAATCATRCATGATTAGATGAGAAATGTCAAATTTTATACAAAATAATTTTATAATAGGTAATAAAACACTTGGAATTATTTCTAAAAATCACTGCAAAGTAATAAAGGACAGCAGTTAAAGCAAGGTGAGGGGGGAGGGAAAAAAAAACTGTTTTAGACAAATTAATTCCCCAAAGGACTGAACTGCAGAGTTCAGCCATCTAATTTTTCTGAGAAATGCTTTTTACATGATAGGTAACTTTAACCAAGGTTTTGCTAAAAACATCAGTTAAAGTTAGATCTAGCTCAAACTGAGATTTATCTGTCACCAAACATCAGAAGACATCTTGGTTTGTTTGTTTGTTTTTCCATATTCAGCCAGAAACTCCCTCCACTGCCCAAAGATAAAAAGTATAAAAATAGTAGGTGTTTCCTCACCTGTCAGCATGACTCAGCCCAACTCCGGCAAGTAAGTGTTTCTTGTGAAAAAACTCCATTTTTTATATGAAAGAAAAAGAAACTGAAATTATACTAAAACTGTACTTTGCTTGAATAATGGAAAACACCACTTTCTGCTATAGTTTCTGTAGTTATTAATGTCATTCTACAACCCATGTAGAATGAGGCCATCCCAATATGACATCTCTTGATTTTACATCTCTTTCACTTACTTTGTACCATCTAGATCACTGTGCAAGGTTCAGGGCAAGGACAGCCAGACTCACTGGTCATGATGAAATTGTATCATCTGAGAAAGATGATTAAGGAATAGACCTTGCAGAGAAAGAAAGAGCTATTATTATTATTATTATTTTTACTACTTTTGATTTAAGAATAATCTGGCCCATCTAAAGGGTTTCCATTTTTTAGAAATGATTTTGGAGGAGGTGGCTTGCGAGCAGCAGAAATACACTATCAAGAGATGTACTCTGTTGCACAAAAGAAAAAAAACAGCTCTCCTCAGAATTTTAACAAGTTGCTTCTGGAGTGGCACCAAAGAAAAACAGATATAAATTGTTTTATTTAGTCAGAAAGAGAAAACTTACTTATGAAATTCCTTCTATATTGATTATTCTTCCTTAGATGTAAGGCTCCATCTTCCTGTTCAAGTTACTGTTGTGAATAAGAAAAACAAGCTTGAGAAGGGTATTTCAGATCAGACCTGCAAATACAATGTACTTGCACAAAGAAAAATGCACAAGCAAATCAAATGACAGCTTGCCCACAAGATTTATCAGCGTGGCCTTTTGTGCATCTTTAGAAAGAAATATGGAATTTCACAACAATGTGACTTTGTCTTTCCTTACATGAGTCACGATTCAAGTCCATTCACCGGAACATTTCATCAGCTGCCTAACCAGAATGACTCAGAACGTTTCCTAACATGCCGGCAGCCTTTTGACATTTTTCAAAAGTGAAGATTTGTACCTAACCTTAAGTTTAGGTAACGATCAGTGGGCCTTCTATAAGTAGCCATTAAAGAGACAATACATATTATATAACATATGTCTACAATTCCCCCTATTTTCTTGTCTACCTTGCCACCCTCCTACCCTGGGCATCAATATAAAAAAATTATATTTACAAATGTGTATATATATATATTTTTTTTTTTTTACAGGAAAAACAAAAGAGAGAGCACTGTGTGTTTTCTAACAGCCCCTGATTTGAAGGCAGCCAAATGAAACACAGATGAAAAACAGATGAAAAACAATTGAAAACACAATTACCAGCCTCCTACATACACAAGTACACACAAGCCATTTTTATCTTAAGCCCTCAGTTCTGGTCAGTGAATATTAATTACACAAAAGTAACGATTCACTTGATCAAGTAACATTACGCAATGTTTTTCTGRGCTAATACAGTTTTCAGTACTCTAACTGATAAACAGGAAGGCACATAAAGACAGGGAAGGAATTAAAAATCTAAATAACAAGTCCTTTCCCCCCTCCCCTCCCAAAGCGGTCCAGACACAACAGTAGGCTTGTTTGTTTTTCATTATCTTTGATGCTGTACCCAACTCATTAATCCTAAAAGAAGTACCTTCCTAAAACATTTTCCGTTATGCTGATGTACTAATTCCATTTAAAAACCATGGTAACATGCAGCAAGCAGTGGCATTTCAGGGCAGTTATTCTCTCCACAACTGTTTACTTCGTAGAAGGTACATTTTAATAATTTAAAAGTGGACTACCCAGAGTAACTGATTTGCCTAAAACTCTTTCATGGAAAACAACAATGCAACAACAACAAAAATCTTATGAGAGAATCATAGAAATAAGAGATGGAGAAGAACTTTGCAGATTTCCCAAGAAAAACTGGTAAATATTTATCAGTCAGAACTATTTCTTCCACTTTATCTACCTGCTTTGCTTCCTTCTCCAAGAATAATACATAAATGTAGAGCACTATAGAATATATATGAACACACACTTATCCTAAACTATCTATCCAAGCAGAAGGTAAAATACACAGGGGGGCCATCAAGTCATTTTTCTCTGTTAAATGACTATCCTTTAAATAATAGCACCTTAAACCCCTGTACTTCTTCCTCCTCCTTTCAAGAAGATGAACAAGAAGGGAGGAACATTAACCTGCAAGCTGGCAGGAGTGACACGGACACGCGCAGGGCCACGCGGAGCCAGCTSAAGCTCTACCCCAGCCGGCAACAGGCCGCAAGCCACGAGGGCGGCTGCAGCGCCCGCCCCGCCGCTCTTGCTGCCCCCATCCAGGCTCTAGCTCTCTTGCCAGAGCCTCCTCTGGGGATCTTGCAGGATTTCTTGGGACAACACTTGAGGTTGGTGCCCAGTCCCAAAGAAACACAACTGAGCTGATTTGCTGGAGAAGATATTAAATTAACTTTGCCCACCTCAGCTCTCCTGGTTCAGCTGCTGGCCAGGCAGCTTCCCTTGCTTGACAGCCAAATTGTCCAGCATGGCTCCCAAACCATCCACCCTGATATCCATCTCCCCCTGCCTTTAACTGCCAGCTCCTCCCACCAGCTGAGCCCACTTTAGCCCACCTGTCTGCCACAGATGCAAGCTGCAGCTCATTACCTCATTACCTGGTCACACCCAGAAACTGCATCTCCAATCTATTATCCAGGTTGCTGCTTTCCCCCACCTGGGTGGAAACCCCCTTTGCTTCATGAAGGTAAATTCAACAAAACTGTATGCTATACATCTAGTTGTTTTTGTTTAGAAAAGAAAAAAATCCTCTTTTCTGACAATATTTCTTACTCTTTTTCAGAAGTTGCTCTGGGGAAGGCTTCTGTCCTGCTATTCCCCCCTTCACTGTCAGGATGCTCATTCTGACTTTAGCYTCCCTGACATTAATAACTCCTGACTTCAGCCTGCATACATACTTTGCTTCCAGTAATTGATGTATTCATAGGATGTTGTAGATTTATGGGATCCATAGGATCAGTTTTTCATCACTGCCAGTGATACAGTGTTTTCCCCTTTCCCAAGTAAGCCAGCCTCCAGTTTTGTATCAAAATTCTCTCCATACTTTTCACCACAACCCAGGATCCTTCTCTTTTTATGCAGACCCATCTTTTACAGCTGCCCTCAAAAGAGATGAAAACTGATCTCTGGGGTGTGGAATCACTGCAACTCCAGGCTATTTCACATAACTGAGACTGCAAAATGAAGTTTAACATTTTTCCAATGGCACTATGTCAACTATTTATAATTAAAAATATTTTAAAGACACTTAGCAGTTATCTCTGCTGTCTCCAAGCATTAAAACATGTTTTGTTTTCATCCACCTTTCTAAACAAAGCTCTATAGCATAAACAATATTTCAAAACAACTGAAACATGGAATATGTCACTGAATGCACTGTGATGAATGACGTGGTGCATCTTGTGCAGCCCTAAGAAAAGTGCATAGAGCAACACATCTAAGTCATCTCACAGCATATAGGGTGAGAGGAAGAAGAAATCACAATCCACTGAATGTGATTTTCTAGCAGGAAACTGTAGCTTAGCAAAAAACTCACAGTCCTCTAATGCATAAACAGAAGAACAGCAAATGATACAGGGTAGGGGGAATCGTCAGAGAAGGAGTTCAGATATTCCTGGCTGACAAAAGATTTGTGAATAGATCAGCAAGCAGCTCAGTTTTGGAAAATTTGCTTATTCCATGCAAGTTGCAGACATAATTTTATGGTAGTCTACACATATCTACATTAAAAAGACAGGTATGATAGGAAAAAAACCTACCTAGCAGAAAAAGACAAAGCAAGATCCAGTGGTTCACCTCCGAAGAAGGTGAAAACATGAGTAAAAATAAATCATATTTATTTAATTGGACATATTAGACTTTAGAACAACTTCTGTAATAGTTCTTCTAAAATTCTGTTTAAAAAGATGCTGAAGGAAAGTCAAGACAGTACAAGCTTTGTGCAGAAATGATTGCATAATTGTAAATGCCCTGTCACATTAAAAATCAGCTTGATGATTGTAATGTTTCCTTGTTTAGATGCATACATTCAATATACTTTGCTTTTCACTCAATTTTTACCAAATTATTCCTTCTGTTTACCATTTAGATTATTAGTACCATTATGCCAAGATAAACACAAGTAGTAGCAAAATGCAGTTTGTATTTGTCTCGTATCGCTCTCAGCAGAGTTCTCTAGTGGATTACAGGAACATAAAATTTTATCTAGTTAAATCAGAGTTACACCATCTTGTCTAACAGTACTGCATATTTTAAGATCTAATTATTCTTCTATTTATATCATGGGCACTTCAAGTGACTACTGTGAATAGGAGAAAGCCTCTGGAGACACATCATCAGGCATACACTTGATTTGTCCTTACATACAGAGACATGAAACACACCCAGGATTTACATTTCTGAATCCTCTACTTCAAAGAAAGCAATTGAAAACAATAAGTTACCCTAAACATTTTGGCATTACTTTTCAGGCCTTCATGAGGAAGCCTGTATATTTCAGGGGGGAAAGGSCATGGAAAAAGTGTCCCAAGTGGATGGCTGGTAGATCTTCAGCACCACGGCACAGCTGGAAGGTATTACTGAAGTTTATAGAGATGAGATAACATCAAATGATTTGAGTTCTAATYTGAAGATAAAACAGGAGAGATTTTTGCTCTATAAAATAGAAAATAAGGTAATAAAGGTTGAAAATCACTATGCAGATTTCAGAATATTTTTTCTTTCATATTTTCCTGTTAAATCATTATTAACAGATTTTGTTTTTTTTGCAAAAAAAAAAAAAGTTAAGAAGCTAAATAAGAAAAGGACATCTTGGAAAAAGCTGTGTCTCAAGATGTCTTCTTAGGCATTTATGTCTGCTCTCAGAGGGATGATAGGGAAGCAGAGCTTTTTCATAATGCCCTGAACAATGTTTTTGTATTCAAACTGGAACATAATATTTGTTCTACCTTTATGATCTTATGTGTTATGTATAGCTGTTACGTGTCTCTATGCATGTGTTATGTGTAAATATATTTTTGTTTAGTAATATTACCATTAAGATATAAAATTGCCATAAAAGATAAAAAATAATATTTGTTCTTCTGCATAAATAAATGGTGCTATAATTATGTCCTTGCATTCACATTAAGAGCTTTGTATGCTACGTAATCTGTAATAGTGGAAGATACARTCTTCACAGAAGCATTTAATCAAACCACCTCACTTTAGAGGAAGAATCTCCTAAAGAGAAGATTTTTACAGAGTAAATGCCAAAGCGTGATATTTCAAAAGAAACAGTGAAGGATGCACCTCATATTTTCCCTTGCTCTTGGTAAAAAATGGCAGCATCGTTTACAACACTTATTCCTTCAATTTGCATGGCTACATCATCGACATGACAAGACTTTGCTTATCAGAAGTCAGTGTCATGCATCTGTGTCAGAAGCTCCGTACTATTATTCATGCTAATGCAAACATCAAGATATAGTGCTAAATTAAACAATAATATATTGAACTTATTTGCAGCTTTTCAAGAGGATAGCAAGCTGCTGAAATGTATTGTTTGCCAGAGATTGTGTTAGAATAACAAACAATTTAATAAGCATGTAAACAAGCAGGCTCTGTACACAAATTTAGAAAATATTATTGGAAAGATGATCGGCAATATCACAGTATCACAACATTTCCTAAAATGTTTCCAAATAGAAAAATTAATTTCTGTAAAAAAAAAGAAATTAAAAGTATGTTGAAAATATTTCTGCAYTTTCAAACCCAGTGACATTTTATTCACAACTAAAACATTGTGCAGGTTACACCTGGAATAACACAAACTGCAATAAATCTGTGAGATAGAAGATAAAGCATGTGAGTATGCAACAGTTCGAGGCATCATCTGGACAGCTTGCCTAATGAGCCCAAAATATTAAATCCAGGCAGAGTTTGCAATGTGGCATATTTGTATCTTCTGTCTGAAAGTTATTAAGGCTTCTCTATGAAAAAAAAAAAAAAAAAAATTCACTGAGTAATGTAAGTAGCGATATTACAATCAAAGTTCCAGAAAAACAGATCTAAGACAGGACATAGCCCGATGGAAGTATTTTTAAGTCCTTTATAAAAGTTTTTTTAAAATCCTATTTTCCCCTTAAGAAAAAAGGAAGTCTGAATTATTACTTCTAGAAATTTATAATTAAAATGTCCCCTAAATGTTCTTTAATCTACAAGCAATTTTTGGAAGTAATTCTAGTGGCAAGCACAACAGAGTAAGCTGTATGTATTGTTAGTGTACCTATAGCCTTTCTTCAGATCCTCAGAAAGTTGTCAGGAATTTAATTCTTTATTGTGCAGCACAAAGTCACATTAGGCACCTTTATAATTTGTGATTACTTTCCTTTGAAACCATGGCAGCAGAAGATAATATTCAAAACTTGACATCATACTGATACATGACCTATCCATATTATCAAGTATACAGCAGATAGRCCAGATCAAGTAGATGAATCCATTTTCATTCCTGCAAATAACACTGAGAGAGATTTGGTGGGTTTGCAGGACTGCTGTAATGCTAAATCTATTCTCAGTTGGCAGGAAAATTCATGCGTCTGTAGAAGGTACTCCTCTAATGCTACACTGAAATGTTAAAAGAAAATAAAACAAACTTAGTTATAAATTACCCCTAAGTTTTTAGACAATGATAGAGCCAAATAACAGAATCTAGACCACACGTAATATAAAATGAAGGAAAACTGAATTAGCTAAATATTTTATCATGTTAGTTGAAAACTTAATACTGTTATTTTCTACTTCTGTTTCTCATTCCTGTCATTTCCACTAATTCATAGAACATGGAAGAAAGACATTCAAATACTTTTTGTTCTGGCTACAGTTTATATCATTAAAAGTTCAAAAATTTCACATTTGGATTTTGACTGTGTTTGGGGAGAAATCCAAGTATTCTGACAAACAAATTACTTGTCTTTTCTGCAATTTCTGAATATGCAAGATCACTGAGGMTATTCTATTTCTTTTCTTCAGAGTAAGCTTGTGTTTGTTCTTTTGGCACTTCCAGCTGGTGTCCCAGCTAAATTCGAGCAGAAACATGGAAACAGTACAAAACAGTTTTGGAGTCTTCAAAAAACACTGAGTTTTGATTCTGAAACAGATGAAGCTTCAGTAATTTTTTCACATGAGCATATTCTTCCTGCCAGTGAGTCTGAAATGGAAGTCAGCTAGAAGCCATATCTTTATATGTATTAATTTAATACATGTTACAAGTCTTGTAATGTAGGACATTTGTTTTATTAAAATTTCTCACATACTATCAATTAGTCCTTTTCTTTTTTTTAATAAGTATAAAGCCAAAGAGAGATTAAGAACTTTGGTCTGCCTTACCAAGATGGAAAAGAGAAGGGGATATTTTAGGGAAGAAGACACATGACAGTGTGATCCTTTACCCCTGTATTCTCTTGCATTCACATTCATTTAGGAA